TCTGGTCTCTTATCTCCCAGCTGGCTGACCACCAGGCTCCCTTTGCAGGCTCCCCTGGGTTCTGACATTCCTCAGGGCTAAGCATGCCTTCCCTGTGATCCTGTGATCCGTCAGCCTTAGCAGCGACAAACTCTAATTGCTCTGACTTGGATCCACTCAACTGTCACATGGTCTGGCAACCCCAGCTCAAATATAGAGACCAGATGTTAAGCACCATGATCCCCACTCCCTTGATGCAATCAGAGATAAACGTAACTGTTGCCTGCCACTGGCCTCCAGTCTTCCACCTCCCAGGAGGAAGCCAGCTTTCAGTAGACTTGTGGATTGAAACAGACTTGTTACGAATGTCCACTGGGAAGACCCAGCCATGGAAATGGGTTGCCAAGGGTATCAGTATGATATTTCTCTTTCTATGTACCCTCCCATCACCTCCCACCCCATGAAAGGGCAGGCTTTCCAGCTACAGCACTTGAAGGAAATCGCAAGTAAATGGTGCAGAACAGGCCACTCAGACAGGTGAGCGGGTGTCCCAATCCCTAAGCCCTGCAAAGCACATTTCTGATGAGCACACACACTGAATGGAGGGCAAGACTTCTGGGGTGTCCACCTTGCCACAAGGAACACGCTCTCTTGTGCTAATGTATTCTCACCAATGACCCTAGGGCTACTGATTGGTCCATGGCTGAACCAGACCCGCAAATTTAAGAATAAAGCCAAGAGACTGACTCCAGAGGCTGTATACGCACCATAGAAATGTAGTGTCTCTGAGTACCAGAGACAGAAGCATCCAGCTTACCCACCCAACATCTGAACTGAGCCTTAGAGACAGAAAGATAGTGCCCACTCTGGGATAGAAGGGGTATGGCTGTAGGCAAAGACAGTATGTCCAAGGTGGGCATCAGGGAGAAACCACTGGGATCTACACTGGATAACGGTGCCAGGCATAGCCATTAACAAGCCTTAGTCTTGGTGATGATATGGAAAGTAAATGGGTAGAGGTGATAGGTACCAGGGTGCCACTGGACAAAAGGGATTGCTTCTAATGTTCTATAGCACAACAAGATAACTGTAACCCACAGTTAAACAGCAGAGAAGATTTAGAATGTTCCCAACATATAAGCATCTAAGGTGATAACTGCTCCAATGATCCTCACAGTCGCCACACAGTGTATGCATACACTGAAATGCTCTCACACCCCACCAACATGCGTGAGTGCTGTTGTATCCATTTACAACTATGTGTAAGGAACAGAGAGGCTGTATGGTGGGTATAACAAGCATGAAGACCTGAGTTCAGATCCCTAGAACCCGTGTAAACTGGATACAGTGCTGCATGTCTGTGATCCCAGCACTCCTACAGCAAGATAGGACCCAGACAGGAGAACCTCCGGAAGCTTGAGGACTCAACTAGCCTGGTGTGGCAAACAAGAGGCCTTGCCTGTCTCAAACAAGATGTGAAGGAAGAACCACCACCTGAGGTTGTTCTCTGACCTCCGCCTGTGTGTACACATGCACCTCTGAACACACGCACACATCATACGTCCACCAAGGATACATTATATTTATTTATGTTCTAGGGTAGGGATTCGTGAGATCATTTGCTCAGCATACACAAGGCCCTGGGTTCCATCCCAAGACATCAAAAAATAAAAAACAAAAAAAAACAACCAAAAAAAAAGAAGAAAGAAGGAAAGGGG